ATACACCACGTGAGGGTGAAAATGGAGATAACAATGAAACTGCGGAAACACAACCTTCTGCTGACTCTCCTAACACTTCGCCCACAGTGAGTGGTGATGGTTCTGATAATGCAGCAGCTGAGAATGGCACTACATCTGGAGTGAGTGAGTCATCAAATAGCCAACAAGGTGTGGGAAATGCGGGAAATACCACCACAACAACAACAACACTTCCTCCTGAACTCACAAACAACAAGAAGGGTGATGCAGACAGCAGCAGCAGTATCAGCAGTTCTGTGTGGGTGCGTGTGCCACTACTGATTGTGGTTACACTGGCCTGTATTCTTGTGTGCTGATTGTGATGGTGGTGGTGATGGTGTGAGTCAGGTCATCCTTTGTTTTCTCTTTTCTTTTTTGCATACATCCACACTACAGTGTAACTAATCTTCCACCTGTTGGGATTTTTCTTCTTTTTTTTGTTTCTTAATGTTAATGTGTTTTCTGTGTGTTTTTGCTCTCTCTGTGTTTATCCTATAATTATTATTATTGCTACTACTCCATTGTGCGTGTGTGTGTTCTTGGAGACTCTCTCTGTTTGTGTGCCTGGGCTTGCACTGTGACAATGATGATGAGCTGCTTTTTGCAGAGGGTAAAAAAGAAATAATAATAACAGATGAATTTATTTTTATAATTGCGTATATATACACATATAGTCTTATACCCATAGTTGGTGTATATCTCTGTGTTTACTGGGTAAATTAGGCTAATGTTTAATTTCTTTTTCTTTGCTTGATGATTTTGCTGGGTGGTTCAGCCTTTTTTAAAAGATATTTGTGAGTGTGGGTTTTTGTTTTTGTTTTTACTCTTAATGAGGTTATTGCGCTTTATTGCATTCTTTAACTGGTAGGTTTTACTTTCACGATGTGAGTTTCCATAGTGGTAATCGATATGTGTGTCCTATCATGTTTGATACTTCAGTTATTTTCTTTTTTTCTCTTTTTGATTCTCTTTCTTTCTAGTTCAGTGTTTTTACGTGAAACAAACCCTTGTCTCTCTCTCATGATGATGGGCCGTGTGATGTGTGTGTTGGCCGTTGTGCTGTGCCTCACCTGCGGGTATACCATGGCGGCTGCTGCTGCTGTTGATAATGACAGTCCCAGTGGCCGTGGTGTATCCCGTGGGGCTGTGGAGGT